TTGTAGGAGACAAAAAAAATGAATTATGCACTTTGACAATTAGCATAGAGTTGACCCATATTCCCTTGACGAAAGCAAGCAGCATATCTGCTGCCAGGGGCCAACGTAGTTTCGAAGCTCATAACCCCCATTATTACACCTGACATAGTAGTAGCATTGTATTGTTGAAGCCATGGACCACCCGATGAGCCACCTTCTAGATTACACGTGATTTGAGAACCATCGTAATTTGGAGTAAAAATAGAAAAAAGAAAGGGAAGACCAAGAATACTTGGTGTTTGGGTTTTAGCGGCACAAGTACTAATTGTTTCACCGTTGTTTGTTTGCTCCCCGTAACCATATACATTTGTGTTCACATTTAGTGGGCAATTTAATAATAGACCCAATCCGCACCCAGCTTTCTGTTGTATATGTGTACCAGTTCCATCAGGAGACATTATGGCGAATGCCATATCATGGCTGAAATTGGCATTACTCATCCATTGTAGTGTTGTTACTAATTTACGGGCCGTAAAGGTACCATAAGGACGACTATTATTGTTGTAGGCAGGTATAAAAATGAAATTCTTTGCCCATTCTTTACTAGTAGTGTTGAAGACACAATGACCAGCCGTAAGTACAGTATCCATGTTGCTAGCGTTAATGACTGAACCAGAACACCAATATGTTAAACTCCCATATGTGAAAAAAGCTCGGCCAACACAAGGTGATGTTGAAACACGTGCATCAGGTAGAATGGTGCTCGGTGTCAGGATTCGTTCGATTTCATTATCTTCATGATTTTTCACAAAAGGAATGTTTCCGTTTCGAATGATCTTTGGTTGCATTGGTCTAGCCGAAGCAATTCGTTCCGGTGTCCAATAGTCGATAATCGATTTTTGATATTCTTCTTGAGTAAATCCGCGAAGCATGTTCACATCCATGCTAACAGTATTGGAGCCAGAACAATTACCAGCACCGTTGATAACACCAGTTAAACTGAGAAAAAGCAAAAGACAAAGTGTCGATAATGCCATGTTTTCGTATTCTTCTTCGATTTCACTGGATTTACTAGCTATTATCGACGAATATTTATATCGGATTAAAAACAATAAAGATCAAATATATGCATCTACATTATCGTAAATTATATCATGTGATTTGCTAATTCATTCGTTATCTATATATTTATTGAAACACGTGATCGTTAAAGCAAATGATTCGATCACGTGTTAAGATTATATATCTGTCAGATTTAATGGTGGATTGTATATCTTGAAAATATATGGATAAAATATTAAAAAGATTTATCACTGAATCTTAAGTATGCAAATGTAAATGCTCGTTAAAGTTTGAAATTGATGTGCAATATATGTGGATACAGATTGTCTTAATATAATTAAACCTACATATATTAGTGGCCACAAATGATCGTGATAGAGAAAATGGAATATCATCTTCGAAACCTTGTCATGATATAGATATTGTTGTTTAACAATTCAAAACACTTATTTGAAACTCTGAAGTATCCTAAAGAATTCTGAGATTGATAATTCTAGGAATCCTTACTATTTGTTTAGAATCTTCATCTAATTATTTGTCAATAACAAAGTTACGAATATCTTATTAATCAAATAAGAGTATGTGCTATACGAAGTATTAGTGCTGTAAAAGTATTTGATAATATTTATTGGAACGAGAAAAACTATAATGGAAATGGTTGACCGTGGTTATTCTACTGGATTTTATTTTTACTTCTTAATGGATGAAATTTTTGATAGTCTCAAAGAAATCGTTAAGTTTTAGTTAAAATCAGGGTATGGGTGTAGGTGTGACATAGTCTTGATTTCATCCACACCCACACCCTTACATCAATGAAACATTTTTTTAAAAATATAAAATGTAGAAATTGAAATTGCATGTATTCATTTTATTAAGTACTGTCAGAAATAAACATAGCTTTGAGAATACAAATTCAAGAAAGTTATTTTCAAGTATAGTACTTTGTGTGCTGATCTATTCATTATAAGCTATTTCCGTTGCACGCGCAAATGATCATTTTTTATTATAAATTAAAATAATACATATTCAATAACAAAAAAAACTAAAAAACAAATACGTGAAAATTATCTGCAACTACAAAAGTAAATGTGTGTAACTTAGTTACATATCATATAGCTGTTCTTTTATCATCCATTGTTGATTCTTCATATTTTTTTTTATTCGTTTGACGATGTCTCTCTAAAACCAATGTTTCGATAGGATTCTATCAAACAACTAATTCATAAATTTTTATGAATGCAGGTATTATTTCCCCCCACATTCTTCTTCAATGTATTACTCTTTTTTTTCTCACCAATAAATAAGATTTTATATCAATCATTCAGCCATATATTAAATTATTTTATTCTCTATAACAGAAACCAGAGATGTCAATCGTTTATCATACTTCATGAGCAATCTTGATTTTGTTATGTAAGCACAGTACGTCAATGAAATACGAGAAATGTGTTTCTTTTTCTATTCTTAAACGACAGTAAAAAAGAAAGCAGACATATGTAACGATAATTATGATATTAAACACACCGATTCATATATAAAGAATAACAGCATTTTTTTTATAGTTTACATCTTTTTAACAAACATAGAAGTAACATGGAAAAAGATTCTCAACTCTATGAACTATTTTTAACGATAAAATGGGCAATCAATGTGTATATCTTATGGTTGTATCACAGTATATTAATTATGATGAAAGTTCCATCTCGAAAAACGCAAATAGATGTTGAATATCTTACTCAATCAATTCGAGAATGTCCACAAGGTAGTCAAATAAAAATTCAACGACATGAACGTAATTCTCCGTCTAATTCAATACGTTCTTCATCATCATCGTCAAAAACAAACAAAAATACATCAATACATTTCCTACATATTGGAATAGCAAATCAAATTCTATCTATTGATAAATCATCGCGAACTGTAACATGTGAACCTGATGTAACAATGGAAGAATTAGTAGATGCATTAATGTCATATGATCTTGTACCAACTGTTGTTCCAGAATTTAAATCTTTAACTATTGGAGGAATATTAGCTGGAGCCGGTCTCGAAAGTTCTAGTTCTCATTATGGACAATTTGCTGATTCATTAATTGAAGCAACATATATTTTAAGTAATGGTCAAATTATAACTTGTAGTCCAACAAAAGATTCGGATCTATTTTATGGTGCATTAGGTTCATGTGGAACCTTTGGATTATTAATTCGTGCTACATTACGTGTATCAGATATTCCATCGGATTGTTTTGTTCGATGTAACTATCATTATACGAATCAACCTATTGAAAGTATCTTATCATTTGATAATAATGAAGATTATATAGATGCAATTGTTTTTTCGAATTACACTGTTATGATTACAGGACAAAGAATTGATAAATTATCTATACCAAAAACTGGACGAATACAAAGATTTTCTCAACCTTGGAGTCCTTGGTATTATCAACATGTAAAAAAAATTTGTAATAAAACTATTTTATGTGAATATATTCCATTGAAAGATTATTTATTTCGATATGATCGTGGAGCATTTTGGATGGGTCGTTATCCTATTAATCCATTGCAAGATAAAATTCAACATTTACCATTATTAATTCGAAATTTTTTAAATCTTTTTCCATTTGGTGGATATAATATTATTAGTCGAACTATTCTTTCACCACTTTTTACAACATCATCACTCTATCGACGTCTTCATAGTTCTTCAACTTCAATGATTACTGATACATTACTTATTCAAGATATTTATATTCCAATATCGAAATCAAAACAATTCTTATCTTTTCTACAATCAGGACAAATGTTTATGAAAGATGATGAAATATTAGAACCTATTTGGCTTTGTCCGATTCGTTCAAATTCAATGCCACAAAAAATGAGTCCACATTATTTAGAAAGTGATCAAGATCATTTATTTATTAATTTCGGTCTATGGACTCATCAACATAGTTGGCAACCGGGATCATCGAGTGGTAAAAATGCAACGAAAATATTAGAAAAAGAAGCGAAAAGATTAGGAGGAAGAAAAATGTTATATTCACTTAGTTTTTATTCAAAAGAAGAATGGTCTACAATTTATGATATGCAATGGTACAGACAAATGAAAAATAAATGGGATCCAGATTATATTTGGCAAGATTTATACGATAAAGTCGTTCAAAAATCGATATAAGACTATTTGATCACATCATTTATTATTGTCTAACTTAATTGAAATATTTAATAAAAGATTCCATTAGGAGGAAACCGAAGTCTTAACACTTCGAACATATTGTAAAAGAAAAATACGTTCTTAGCATGGGTCGTTCTTGAGGATAGAGTGGGTGTGGGTTTCTCGCATTAGTATCCACACTCTTACCCTCACCCACCCTTTATATCAATTAAATTGTATTCATCTTAGAGAATGGCAAAGTCAGTTACGAAATATTTACCCTCTATACTTTTTTAAATAATTCCTTTTCTATTTGTAGTTTTTTTTATTCGAACTCGCAAAGTATAATATTCTTGCAATATTAACATTAGCATTTTGTTCGTTTATGTAAATATTGTTAGTGATGATTATGATTACATTTTCTTACATCACTTCTTTAGTTTAGCTTTTAAATAAAGTATATAAAATATATTTATAATTTATTCAATTCACATAAATGTTAGTTACAATAAATAAAATGATGTTCATTCCATAAATTGAAAATATAATTAATTTTATGTAGGATGTACTTGAACACCTGTGGCTATTACTATAGTATTTATTACATATCGTCGAATAAATAAAATTTTTCTTTTTAAATAATTTCGTAAGTCATGATTATAAAAAATTAAATCAAGAATATCTATTAACATACTTAATTGTGAAAATAATTGCATAAAAGAAAATATTAAGAAATTAAACCATGATGGTTCAAGAACTATACAGAAAAATATGGGTGCCCAACCAGCTACATATACAATAAACATAAAAAGCATATGTTTAAGAACATAAATATCTCGTTTTGATAATGATGGATTTCGTATTATTGCTATCGTTCCTTGTGCAGGAGCTAATCGACGTGTAAAAGTATAAGCATAGATAACAATAAGTTGGTAAATATTAAACCATAATGGAATATTATTATTACATTCCTATAAATATAAGAAAAAAAAACAAAAAGGATATATTATTATTCTTTTTTTATTTGATTACATCTTCTGTTATGCATATTGTTGAAATTGATATAATTATAGAAAATATCCATTGAATTCCAATACATATAGCAGCCCATTTTTTTGTTTTTAATAAACGTTTTTGTGAATAAGCAATAATACATATAATCGATGAATAGAAACTAAACATAATGCATAAACAACTTGACAAAGAACAATTGTTTGAATATATTGTTGAAATGCACATAAATTTGGATTTGCATTATACACATCAGGATAATAAGCAGATAATACATATTTTATAATCAAATATATAGCACATCCTAATATTGTTACCGAAACATTTATAGTAAGATAATTAATTGGATTATGAAAACGTTTAATTATTAAAAGTGGAAATAAATATATGCATGAACATACAATAATTAATACATATAATGTTATCTCTACTATTATAAGTATAGACATAGTTTGATCCATGTTGTCAATAGATAGTACAAAATGAAATTTAAATGAAGAACAAATATTCAGATATTAATAAAGATAAGAAATAACTTTAGGCTTTTTCATAGTGCAGAAATTAATATTGTTTTTTAAAAAATATTCATATCCTTATGTATAAAAAGTACAAACTTTTAATGAAAATAGCTAGCCTACAGAAATTATAATATTCATGTTTAAATTTCATTTATGACGTATTTTGTTATTCATAGTTAATTAGAAGAAAAAGGACATCAATAGAAATGTATTCTTTATTATATTTTAACACTTTCTATTGATGCTACATCGCAATTTATTCATTTTGCTCTGTACAATTACCAATTATCTGATAAACATTTTGTTGAGAATTGCTTTGATAACAAGTATAGTTCTGTATGCTCTACAATACTATTTACATTTTCATTTTTTTATTGACTATGATCAACACATCAGAAAAGTAATCTTACACGATTTATGCGTGTACATATTGATATTTATTTAATATTCAAAAAAGCGAGCATGACAAAACTTTTTAGAATTCATTTTTCAAAAAGCAGATGTACCGTTACATGTTCCTGCTGGACGTGCTAGATAGTATTTATTGCAATTCTCCGCGGAACTAGTAGTGGGCAATACACAACATACAAAATATGGTATAAAATCGGCACAGAAGTGTTTTATTTCTTGGACCAAGTCACCACATGGAGTTTCGGCATCGACTGTACCACCGCCTTCTCGAGGATCTGAAATCCAGGTACCATTTTGATAATAACATGCTTGACCACTTGGTCCTGTTGAATTTACACAACTTCGATAACAGCCGTATGCACCTGGATGGAATTCACAATGACCAAAATGCTGGTGTGCATTACATGTTTCATCTGCTTCCCAACCACCAGGCAATTGCTCCGGAAATAATGTTGAAATCTGACATGGTGGTATTACTGTTTGGCTCAAAAGATCTTTAGGATTACCTTGTTGCTGATACCATATGTTACAAGCCTGAGTATCAAAAAAGGAGATTTCACATTGATTTCCATCGTTATTTTTGATATTAAATGGAAGACAATTAATGAATAGAATATTGAACAAGGCAAATAAAGCAAGTGAAATAGATTTCATTTTTGTAATGAAGAATATCTATTATGATACACGTCTTTATATACTTCTCGTCGATCCACTTGAATACATAGATTCTGTATTTTATTCGAATGATTAATGATTGTGCATGTCAAACAATTGATATCGTCAAAGTATTGTTAATCTTCTTGTTGAATAATAAAATAAGTCACATGCAAGACGATTACAAGCCATTGTTTTATAATCATGTGATATATCAAAAGGAAATTTTTTATCTAAGACAGATTTATTAATAAAAATAATCATTCGGATAATAAAAAAAACCAGATGACTACCTTGATTAATCATCTCCGTTTTTATATATACATCTTGGCACGTGTTAGACGATTAAATCGAACTTACACGTATACAAAAACAAAACTTTGTTCACATCACTTTTAAAATTTACATAAAAAAGAAATTTTAATTGATTCAAATTCTAATGAAAAATTAGTCAGATATACAAGATTAATTATTTCAAAACTTATCATATTCTAAAATGCTTTTGATAGAAATACAAGAAATAATTTCTATAATGTGTATCGATCTTCTAATTCATTTTTGATATCCGAAAAAAAACTGCCGATCACGCTATTCGATTCTTTATTAGAAATAACATCTGTAAAGGGTGTGGGTGTGGACATTGATCTTCGAGTGATCCATACTTGTATTCTCATACCCACACCCATACTCACACTCTCAAACATCACAAATAAATATCGATAAGTCTTATTATTAGCAACAATCTAATTCTAATAACATTAGGAATTATTTGAAAATACAGCCAGATTATATTCTAATATTTTGTTTATTTGACAATATATTTTTTATATTTGATATTAATATAGTGAAATGTTGACATGATACAATTCATTAGCGTTTTTTTTCCTAAGAAGATTCAATGGTTAGTCTCAAGGAATTTGATCTGTCGCATCATGTTTTATTTCAGTAAAATCATTGTCAACTACTGGAAAAGAAAAAGAAATCTTTAAAGTTATTGAATGGTAGTTCTACTGTTGATATAATATAGAAGAATAATTTTGTTTCTATGAGAGTTTTGTAATATTACACTATTTTTGCATAATTCTCTCTGATATAACTATATATAAAACAAATTTGATATAGTAAAATATCTTATTATCAAAAAAGAAATTCAAAATTAATGAACGTAACACAGAAAAGAGAAAATGCTTTCATTGAATGTAACTATTTCTTCAGCATCATCTAAAATTGCTCCAACATTAATTTATTCAAAGATTAGTTATATCGTAGATTTTGTTTAAAAATACTCATCAGTAATATTTTTAGAAAATATTCTTATTTTCATCTTATCGAGTTCTTAGAAACAATCTATGTTTATTGTATAATTTCTTTAGGGACATCTGCTTACCCAGATATTTTATCTTGAAAGTCGTATTCTCAATCAAAGTTATCAAATATATTTTAACAATCAAAGTGTTTGTGACGTGAGTTGACTTGAATAACTAACATGCGTTGCAAAAGAAATGGAAATAATGTCAAAGTCGATTAGAACATATTATCAACTTCAAGATCAATATCTGAACTACAACTTGTGTACCTCAAACATTCTTTCAGAATGTTTCAGAGAAGTGGACATCCCTAAAAAAAAGTGTTTGCAACTCCGAATACTTAGTAATATCATTTCTATTTTCTTCAAATATTTATTATATCGAAAGGGGATAAAATCATTACGTTCAATAATGATTTCTGCAATAAAAAAACTCCCTTTTCAATGATGCATTTTATGTTAAATTTATTTTGAATTTCATATTAAAGTATTGCTTATGCTTACTATCTGGCCATTTTACAAACGTAAAAAATGTTTTCTGAATTACCTTTTTCTGCTAAGTTTTCATGATCTCACATATCTCGAACAAATAACGCGAAATTAATTGAATTCGTGCGTAATTTTTGTAGATGACGGACGATGTTGTTAAAAACTAAACATCTTGTGCTCCAAATCTTTGTGATTAGAGAGTTAGCAGCAAAGACTAAGCAAAATTTGATAGATGGTAATGATTTTTTATTAGAAGTATTTCTTTTAAAAATAAATATAAATTCGATTTGTTTTACAAAAGAAAATAATTATACAGTATAACTGATTCATGACTATCATCAGTAGAAGCTGTTTCTAGATCTAATGTAATAGAAATTGAATCAATATGTCCATCTGTTTGAATTTGTTCAATATTAACATCTAGTTCTAATCAGATATTCATTATTGTTACTTTAATCTGAAACAAAAAGGAGAAGTATGTATATATATATGATGTATTTTTATGCCACATTATATATTGTATTAATCGTTTGATTTTAACTGTTTGTTAATTATCATCAAATTTACCTTTCCATGGGTATCTATTAACTTCATATTGATTACTGTGTCCAAACAACAAGAAAAAAGAAAAAAATATCGACATTATTTGATCATGTATTTTATTTGACCGTATTTGTTTTCTGATAAAGTTTGACTATCATATAAAATCGTCATAATCGTTCTTTTTTTTTAATATTTACTAACTATTTAGCATTAAAAACAGATATTTTACGGTTATATATATTGTGTATACATCAAGAGTGTTAATATAACGAATTAGTCATATTTTTCTTTTGTATTTAACTTCGAATGTGTGTGATGTAGATGATAATAAACACATTTATATAACAACATCATGGTTTTTTCTATGCAATAATTCTTTTATTTGTTAGATCCTTGATCTTTAGCGAATGGTTATATTTTCTCAAACAATGTGATACTATTCAGTGGTCATATTGGAAAAAAATTTCTTCGTTGATTTAATAATTATTAAAATGTATGAAAAAGACATCTTAGAAAAGAATTACAGAATTTACTGCCGTTGTAAATAATCGTTGATAAACAGAATTCTTTTTTAGATTAAATTATATGATTAAGTTAGATACATCTAATGATCACAATGGAGAAAAATTCAGTTCTTTTTTTGTATTTTTAAGCTCAATAGTTCAGTTTTCATCTCTATTATTTCAAGATTGACTTCCTAACAAGGCTATTAAATCAAAAGGTTTAGGAGATTTCATTGTACGATTTATTTCCTAATCGTATATTGTGATTATTAGTTTACTCGACCTATAATTTATATAACTTACCAAATTCAATTAAAAAGTTATTAGTTCAACGGATGTGACGATCCGATTTTATATCTCCGATAACATTATTTAATTAAAAGATACATTGAAAAAAACGGAAGAAAAGCACACCATTCATCAGATTTATCATATATTGACAAATTCGACTTTTGTCGAACTATAAAAATACATTAATATATATATCAAATAATTCAAAGAACAGAAAATTGAAAAAAGAAAAGCACATGTGAGATGAAATAAATGTGTTTTATACTTGTCAAAATAAATTTTAATTGTTTATCATGACTAGACGTTATAAAAAAGACATAAAAAAAAATTATTCTATTTTCTTCTAGAATAAGATAGTATTATTACAGTTGACATCTTTACATCGAATACTGCATATACAATTTTTAGTATTTATCACAATAACTACAGTATTATGTTGATGATGACTACTTCTCTTTGGATAATATATATAATGGAGAGTGTAGATATTTTATTTCAACCACATCCTCATGATTTCATATAAAATTTATCCTTAAACTAGAAAAAAAATATTATTATCATTAGAATAACTTGAAATAAATGAAGAAAACAAAATCGATCATTAGTTACATCTATATTAGATTAGTATATTTTTAGTATAAACTAATTGAAAGTAGTAGTAGTAGTGATTTCTATTTAGACATGAGTAATCAATGTTTAAGTTTTAATGAACAATTGATAGGTATGATATTTCTAACTATTGTAACAAAATATCATGTTTTTTGTTTATTTATTTTTCTTTAAGAAAATGACAAACAATTCATAGTTTTTATTTGAATTTTTGCAAAAAAAGATGTTTCTTTTATTTGTGTCAGTTTTATATTGATTATTGTTAATTCACACATCCCATGGCTGGTCGTCTGTCATAATACCATCCACAAACTTCTCTTGGCATGGGTAAATCTGCACAACATTTGTCATAAGGTACAACATCATGATCATTGTGTGCAAGCCATTGAAATAAATTAAAAAAATTTTCTGGTGCACATTCACGATCTAATGTACCAGCACCTTCAAATGGATCATCCATATACTTACCATCTTTAGTATAACAACATTGAGAACCAGGTCCAGAGCTTTTAGGTGCAAAACGATAACATCCCCATGCACCTTTATGATAACTGCATGTATTTGGTTGACTACTTGCTTGACAACCTGAATCTGTTTTCCATATCCGAGTACCATCATTATATTGACTTGGAAAGTTTGTAGGCATATGACAAGGACATTTTGGTGTTAGTGCCATAAATACGGATGGATGCGGTTCAGCATCATACCACTTTTTACACCAAGCTGTATTTTCTGCTACTGTAGCTGCACGAACACTTCCAATATTTGCATTGAAGCAGATAGATGCTATTGTAATAAGAAGTAGAGAGATGAACATGATCGAATGTTAATTGAGAAAATGAAATACATTTGTCGTTTGCGACATGGTTTAAATAGGATTGAAGAAACTGATTTAATTACTGTTATCGAAGTTTTTTATCTATATTTTATTACTCTCAGCTGACCAGATTTTATTATTCTTAAAATATAAAGGGATTCGAATATCTTAGAATGTCATATGAGATGAATAAGATTTATTGTAAGATTAGATTTCGATGAGTAGTCTTAATGATTTTCTTTATTTCGGACAATTTAACGATATAATTGACTTAGATTTATTGTATAAAAAGGTAATTTATTTTTATGCTTTTAGCTGTTTTATTGGTTATTACTTTATGATAAGAGAATTTTATGAGCTGCACTCAAAAATAACGGTGAGTAAAGCAATCATGTGATTCAGATATAATTCGAATAATCTCGATGGTCACCTGATCTTTTCG